CCCGATCTTTCACAACCATCGTTTTCTTCATTATTCCCTTCGGTGGACTAATGCTGCACTTGGGAATGGGGGACTACTGACATGGGTATTCATGGTCGGTCCCTCCACTCGGTCACCCATCGCGGTCGGCTCTCTTCATGGTAGGTCCTTCCACTCGGTCACCTTTTGTGGTCGACCCTTCTCATGGTCGGTCCCTCCACTCGGTCAACCTTCGCGGTCTGCCATTTTCATGGTCGATCCTTCCACTCGGTCACCCTTTGCGGTCGCCCCTCCTCAGGGTCGGTCCCTCCATTTGGCCACCCATCGCTGTCAGCCCACCTATCGGTCGGTCTTCACCCCCCCGATCTTTCACAACCATCGTTTTCTTCATTATTCCCTTCGGTGGACTAATGCTGCACTTGGGAATGGGGGACTACTGACATGGGTAAGCCCATAAAGGTTATAGCCCACCATTTAGAGCCCAATACATAATTCAAATACTAAAGCCCAGCGTTGCTGGAGCTTAACATGGCATTAAGAACCAATGATATCTAAACACGTGGCAAGAGAAGGACAAGCCACATAAGCAGACAAAGATCCTGCAAAGTTATTGTACTGCACATCAGCCATTAATGAAACCCTTTACAGCATTTATTGTGATAACCCCTCTCCGTCGAGACAGAACGACCTCACCATGAACAAGGCAAGCTAGAGCATAGACTTTCGGCCAAGATAGTAGGTCGGAAGGGACAACGAAATGATTACCAGAGGATATAAGTAGACGTCGAAGACAAGAAGAAGGTTAAGCTTTTTATTTCTAATCTATCCCTACATTCCATCTCTCCTTCTAACTTGCTCGTCGAAGGGTTCGCTGGGGGAGTCCCCGTTCCCCGTTGAACTCTTGTGCAGGTTCCTCTGTGGGCTTGGTACCTCGGATACTGGTGTGGAAAGCGTGGATTAGTCCGACTTGTTCAAGTTGGAACACGCTGTATCATCATGTAGCATGACCTACCCACCCAAAAAATGTAGCATGACCTAACTAACAAATTGAGATATGGAAGAAGAAAAAAATTGGAACCAAGAGTCAGCTATACTTACTATATATATATATATATATATCGGAGACCAAATATTTGATATAAAATAGAACATTAATTACATGTATTCAGAAAAAGAAAAAATCAGTGTGTTTAGTTTTCATTTTCTGAATTCAACTATTTGGAAATTAAGTTTTTACTTTTCATATATTTTTTATCTTTAGTGAATATTTTTAAAATTTAAGTAATTATTTTATTTTTTTATATACACCTTAAATGTATCTAAAATATAAAATATTTGTAAAATAATATTTTAAAAAAATCAATAAATATACAAGAATACAAAAAATATAGTGAATTCTCGTTTTATTTTTTATTTTTTTTTATATTTTATATTTTGGTATTTAGTGAATTTTCTAAAGATTTTTTTTACAAATATTATATTTTTTAAGTGTATTTATATTAAATGTATCTAAAAATTAAAAAAATAACTCACAATATTAAAAAGATTCAATAAAAACAAAAAAATATAAAAAAATAAAAAATTTCAATTTTCTGAAAAATAAATTCAGAAAATTGAAATCAAACCAGCTGAATAGTTGCACAAAATTTAAATACATAAAATGTACAAAAAGTACATTATGTGGTTGAGATTCATCAACTTAATTTTTTTTTTGAATCAACAATTCACCAAAAAGAAAAAAAAGAAGATTAAATTATCAATAAATTCCAAATAGTGACATTACAAATTCTTTGGTTTTTTTTTTTTTTAAGACATTACAAATTATATGAAGGACTAAGCATAAATGGCCATGTTATGTATTGAGGGACAGATGCGAATTTTCTCATAATATTGAAATTATTAAATGTAACACTTAAAAACAATTCATTGGCATTGGCGGAGGCAAAGAAGGACGAGGGGGTCACGTGCCCCCTCTCAGTTTTGATATATATATATATATTTTTTGGTCTTTTGTCATATATAAAATGTATTTTTTTTTCTTAATATGTTTTTTAGTTAATGATTTATTGTATTGTTCATAACAAGTAATTATTTAATACTTTAAGAGCACTGTGTAATATTATTTATATAATAGTTTAAACTAATAGTATAGCGAAAAATCTTATAGATTGGATAAAATAAACTCATTATTTTCAAACAGTTGATAGACTGCTTAGTGTGATTTGTGATTTCTCATGCTTTGATCACGTAAGCAATGTTATATGGTATTCTAAACTATTTAATAATTTTCATTCAAAACACATATTTATAAGCAATGTCATCTCTTTAATATTTTTCTATCAAATAAAAATTAAATAGATTTTATAATAATTTGTACTATAAACGATGTGTTTTATTTTCTAAAATTAAGAATTTTGATCTATAATTTTTTGTGCTAAAATTACAACTTACATCACCATCCCGCATCGAGCTATTCGACATTATTATAGAATTTTAATTTGTTTCTATTAATAATGAATATGTAATTTTTTATGCTTAAATTTAGCTCATAAAATTATTATTATCTTAATGTTCATCATGATTTTTTTTTAAATAAAAAAATATAATTAATAGTGCCCCCTCTAACTCAATTTTCTGGCTCCGCGCACTGTTCATTGGTGTATTTTTTTCTACACGTAACACTCAAATGTAACACTATAAAAACGTAACACTCTAATGTAACATAATAAAAAATTCTTTAATATACTTTTCTTAAACGTAACAACGTAATATTCTAAAAAAATTATTAATATACTTTTTCCAAACGTAATACTCTAATCAATGTAACACATAAAAACTTCTTAATATACTTTTTTCAAATGTAATGCTCCAATGTAATACGCTAAAAGCTAAAAAAATTCCTCCAGACGTAACATTTCAATCAATGTAACACATAAAAACTTCTTAATTAATTTTTTTTCAAATGTAGCATTCTAATATAACAATCCAATGTAACACCAAAAACTATACTAGTAGAAATGTAATTTTTACGCTTGACAACCAATATTTTAGTCACCAATCCCCCCCTAAAAGAATCTTTCATACCTCACATTTTCATTTTCATCCCAAAAAATGAATCAAAAAGTTGAAAAAATAAATCACAAAAAGGCACTGACTTAAACTCAAAAGGTACCAAATCAAATAAATACAACTTTTCAAAACAAAAAACACTAATTAATTCATAAGAAAATTCTTAAGAGTAAATGAATTAATATTCTCTCATATGAAATTTATGGATAAATTTTCCAAAAAACAAGTGTGTTTGGTTTTAGTTTTTTGAATTCAGTTTTTTTTAAATTGAGTTTTTTGTTTTTCATGTTTTTAACAAATATTTTTAAAATTTTAAATATATATATTTTTTACTTTTTTCGATGCACCTAACTTAAATGTATTTAAAAAATAAAATATTTGTAAAAAAATATTTTAAAACATTAATAAATATACAAAAATTTATAAGCAATGTCATCTCTTTAATATTTTTCTATCAAATAAAAATTAAATAGATTTTATAATAATTTGTACTATAAACGATGTGTTTTATTTTCTAAAATTAAGAATTTTGATCTATAATTTTTTGTGCTAAAATTACAACTTACATCACCATCCCGCATCGAGCTATTCGACATTATTATAGAATTTTAATTTGTTTCTATTAATAATGAATATGTAATTTTTTATGCTTAAATTTAGCTCATAAAATTATTATTATCTTAATGTTCATCATGATTTTTTTTAAATAAAAAAATATAATTAATAGTGCCCCCTCTAACTCAATTTTCTGGCTCCGCGCACTGTTCATTGGTGTATTTTTTTTCTACACGTAACACTCAAATGTAACACTATAAAAACGTAACACTCTAATGTAACATAATAAAAAATTCTTTAATATACTTTTCTTAAACGTAACAACGTAATATTCTAAAAAAATTATTAATATACTTTTTCCAAACGTAATATTCTAATCAATGTAACACATAAAAACTTCTTAGGCCTCGTTTGGCAAGAGGCTATTTTAGCCAATTAGCAAAAAAGTTACTAAATTAGCCAAAAAGCTAACAACCCATACCAAAAAGTCAAAGATTCTCTTTTCTCTCTACTTTTTGCACTTCTTTTCGTAATTAGCCAAAAAGTCATCCCAAACATACAAGTTTTTTTTACCTACCTTTTTAGCCAAATAGCCAAAAAGTTACTAAATTAGCCTGTTCCCAAACGAGGCCTTAGTATACTTTTTTCAAATGTAATGCTCCAATGTAATACGCTAAAAGCTAAAAAAATTCCTCCGGACGTAACATTTCAATCAATGTAACACATAAAAACTTCTTAATTAATTGTTTTTCAAATGTAGCATTCTAATGTAACAATCCAATGTAACACCAAAAACTATACTAGTAGAAATGTAAATTTTTACGCTTGACAACCAATATTTTAGTCACCAATCCCCCCTAAAAGAATCTTTCATACCTCACATTTTCATTTTCATCCCAAAAAATGAATCAAAAAGTTGAAAAAATAAATCACAAAAAGGCACTGACTTAAACTCAAAAGGTACCAAATCAAATAAATACAACTTTTCAAAACAAAAAACACTAATTAATTCATAAGAAAATTCTTAAGAGTAAATGAATTAATATTCTCTCATATGAAATTTATGGATAAATTTTCCAAAAAACAAGTGTGTTTGGTTTTAGTTTTTTGAATTCAATTTTTTTAAAATTGAGTTTTTTGTTTTTCGTGTTTTTAGCAAATATTTTTAAAATTTTAAATATTTTTTTTTTACTTTTTTCGATGCACCTAACTCAAATGTATTTAAAAAATAAAATATTTGTGAAAAAATATTTTAAAAAATTAATAAATACACAAAAATATACTGAATTTTCGTATTATTTTACATTTGCCATTACGTAATTATGGACCTAGTAGGAATTAAGGAAATTTGTTAGAGCAGAAGCAACCAAGCAAGGAGGTTGAGGTAGATGATCTGAATGCAAATATACAATAAAGAAAGGGTGCAATTGCAAAACTACGAAGCAAGGTAGAAGTAATAATCCAGTACCCACACCACACGCCAATTCTGTGCAAGTAATTTCTGGTCTATGCATATTAATAGGGGTTTGGATCTCTTCCTCACTCTGGTCTCTGCTTCTTTCCCTCCCATCCCACGGAAAACCAATCCTCCGCCGGCGAGGAATCTCGAATTGCCGGAACCCTAGATTCTCTAATCCAAACCGTCAATCGAAATAGCTTTCTCTCTCTGAAGATGGCTTCGATTCCACTGGTACACTCAAACCCCTCCAAACCAACCATGTTCACTCTGAACTCGAATTCACGTGAGTCTCTTTTCATGACAAAGCTCTCTCAAAACTCCTTTTTGAACTCGAATTCTCTCTCTGTGATCGTCAAACGACAGTCCTGTTTTGTGACCAAGCTCTCCAAATCCAATGGAGGCTCTCTGTCGGCATTCGCGTGTTCCACGTCTTCACCGTTCATCGGCAGAGTTGGATTGCAGAGAAGAGAGGGTAATTTCTCGTTGCTGTCCTTTGGAACAAACCCTAGCCATTTGTCAAAAGTAGGACTCAAGACCGATTCTTCGCAAATTTTGTCTGCAATGCTTCCTTTTGTAGTTGCGCTCACTGCAATTGCTGCTCTCACTCAGCCTTCAACATTCACTTGGTGAGAAAATATATATATATATATTTAAATTTTTTTTTTTTAGAGTTTTGGAAAAACTTTTGAAAAAACTTTGGTCAATGCAATGAATTAAGGCACAGAGAAGTAGGCAGACTCTATGGCATTTTGTTTTTTTTTTTTTTTTTTTTTTGTATTTTTAATTCTTTTCTATTGATAATTTAATATAGAGTATCACTATAATATTATATTTTTATATATTCTTCTCTTTGATTGTTTTTAGTAGTTACTTATTTTTCTTAAGTTTCTCATTCTGCTTTGGCGATTGCTTATGGTTTTCTTCTTATCGTTGAAAACTGAATAAATTAAATTTTAGCTTTTTAGATTTTTTTTTTTAGTACTTCTTAGGATTAAAAAAAATAATCATAATAATAAAAAAATAAATAAAAGAAGAAGAAGAAGAAGAAGAAGAAGAAGAAGAAAGGCAAATCGATCCATTCCAGACCAAACTTGCATGGTTTGGTTTGGTACGAGTACTTCATGGTTTGGTCTGAACTGTGCTTCATGGTTAGGTCTATGATTTTATATAGTTATAGTTATGTATTCTGTTTGGAATCAAACCGGATCATTTAAATGTATAGTTATATATATAATTTGTTACCTTCGGTAAATACTCATGTATCTAAACAATTTCTTAGACTGTGAATAATAGTTTGGGATAACCTTGTGAAGGTTGACTAGGTTTCTAAAATCGTGTTTTACTGGTTCGGCCTGGTTTAGTTTAAAGATTTTCATGGTTTAGTTTGATTCCAAATTTCATGAAACCATTTAGTCCTCGGTTTCCTCACCAATCTGAACCATGCTTCCTAATACTGCCCAATTTAGTTTTAGTGTCAGTTATTAAAGGTTTATGAGTGATTCTATGTTCCTAATTATTTAACCTATGATATTGTTTATTTTCAGTTAAATAAATTGCTTGATGCGGAAATGTAATTATTAGGGATGCTATTTATTGTTTTCTATCTTATCATTGTTATCCTTGAGAAAATAATTATTTTGGGATATCTAAATAATAGAGGAAAGTGCAGGGTATCAAAGGAATTGTATGCCCCTGCTCTTGGAGGTATCATGTTGTCGATCGGAATAAGGCTATCCATTGACGATTTTTATCTTGCAGTTAGAAGGTCACTTCTCTTCTTTGCTCTGAAAATTTAATGTTGTTGCAGTTGAATAATTAAGATATTTGATGATAGTTTGAATTTGCTTTTAAATTTCTTTAAATTTTATCTATTGCAGACCTTTACCTCTATCTGTTGGGTTTATTGCGCAGTATATGCTGAAACCAGCCCTTGGGGTGTTGGTGGCAAGGGCATTCCATATGCCTCCAATGTTCTATGCTGGTTTTGTCCTCATGTCTTGTGTTGCAGGGGCTCAGCTATCCAATTATGCTAGTTTCTTGAGCAAGGGGGATGTGGCCTTGAGCATTATCTTGACAAGTTCAACCACCATAGCATCAGTTCTTGTTACTCCGCTTTTAACAGGCCTTCTCGTTGGGTCTGTTGTTCCGATCGATGCAGTTGCCATGTCTAAATCAATTTTACAGGTTTTGGACACTATGAAATGTGCACATTAAATTGGATCAGAAATTGTTGTTCTTGAATTGGTATTGATTATAGGTCTGTTGCATTTGCCAGGTTGTTCTTGTTCCTGTCACTCTTGGGCTTTTGCTCAATACTTATGCAAAATCTGTTGTAAACATTCTTCAGCCTGTGATGCCGTTTGTTGCAATGATTTGTACTTCAATGTGTATTGGCAGCCCTCTTGCTATTAATCGGAGTCATATTCTTTCTACTGAGGGCCTGCAATTGGTTCTTCCAGTGTTAACATTTCATGCGGTGGCATTCACCTTGGGATACTTAATCTCCAAAATTCCACTTTTGAGGTAAATATCTTCTACTACATCTTGTTCACTTTGTAGGACTGAATTGATGCCAACAAGAAACATTCCTTGTATTTTCCTTTATTTAAAATACTGGCTACTTCTTAAGTGTTTCCAAGAATTGTTTTGATCTTGGACTGGTAATCATTAAGTAGTATGCCAGATTATGAGGGTTCTTACACAAGGAATATGTATTATATATTGTAGAGAATCCAAGCCCCTGTACTATGTCCCAGTTTCTAAATCTTTCTTATTGAAAATGGAGGGCATATAATGCTTGCAGAATGATAAATTGCGATCTAAAGATATCCATACATTTTGTGCACAACTTCATTGCATAAATTTATAACTCAATAGTGATTTATCTGAGCCACATGCAATGATCCCATCTTGTAGGCACAACCCATGTGACTCCATGTTGCCCATGTCCTGATTCTCCTGATCAAGTTTTTGAAACATGGGTGGTGGGACATTTTGGAGTCATTTATAATGGATGTTATATGTATGTTTCTGCATGGATTGAATTTATGACATATTGCCCTTTCTTATTGTGCCATGCTTTTCTTTTCATTTCATTTTTTCCCCTTTTTTGCTTGTGTATTATATAGGTTTACCTCTTATTTTCTTTTTATATTTCTACTGCTATTGATCATGATTTACACTCCATATTTTTTCCCCTTTTTTTCTTCTATCCCTGATGTCAACTAGTGTTTAAAACATGCATGCTTTTTAAATCATTTGACTTCAAATTGGTTGTTGCTTGTTTTTTAACTCCTAATTTCTTCTCTTGGGACTGAATAATGGTAAAATTTTGTTGGGAGAAGCTGAGTTTGGCATCTACAATTGAACGCTTTCCTTCACTGTCACGTGTGGTAAACTTTGGAAAGATGGAGATATTTGGGAGACGAATTTAAGCGCTCTCAATTACCAATGTGCAAGGACCTATAATGTTTTTCCTACATTTGATTTATTTCATGAACCAAAACACCGTAAGTACCAAATTTGGTTAAGACTCCATGAGGCTTCATGAGAATTGAGTTCTGAAATGAGATTTGAAATGCAAATGCACTTCACATATTACGTTGCATATTGTTGCTCACATTTCACATTCAAAATGTCTCTTATAATGTTTTGAAAATTGTGGCAGGCAAGAAGAAGAAGTTTGCAGAACAATTTCATTGTGCACGGGAATGCAGAGTTCGACATTGGCAGGGCTTCTTGCCACCCAATTCCTTGGGAGCAGTCAAGCGGTTCCCTCAGCATGCTCGGTAGTTGCCATGGCTATCATGGGCCTTTGTCTTGCATCTTTCTGGGGCAGCGGCTCTCGAATCAGAGGCCTACCATTTCTTTACATCCTGCAAGCTGGTTCTACTGTCAAGGCTTAGTGGAGCAACTTTTGGTTGCTTACATGGTGTTTGGATAAACTAATATATGACTGAAGAGGAGCCTGTGATCATGTGTTTATCGTGAGCAAGTTCAGTGACATAGTAGATACAGAGTAAGGAAGAGATGAAAATGTAAAGCGGGAAAGATATTTGTGCTTGGAAGCAGATGATTGTACAGAATTTGTACAGAATCTAGACGTAAAAGAGCTCATATGTACCAGCTGCACCTATGGTCATTGATGTGTAGTAACTTAGTCATATGCATTAGAAAAGTAATGTGGATAAAATCTTTTGTAACCAATGATTTACTTCTCTCCCTCCCCCTCAATCCCTTCCTTTGTCAGAGCTCAATGCATATATTGCAAGGAGACCAAGTGAAAATCTGAAAGCTCTCGAGCTATTGATATGTGATTATGTTTTAATTTAAAATAGTAAATAACTATTCTAATCAAACAATCAAGATAAATCGGTACAACGATTTAACGTGAAAAAGATTATAATTAGAGCACATCTAAATGTGATAAAATTCACAGGTTAAAAATACAAAATAATTTACTAAGAAGATAAAAAGAAATTATTTAGTGAATATATGTCAGAATTCAACTAGATTCAATGTGTCTTTTCCAATATCGTCTTTACTACGGAATTGTTTTACCTAACATTGAATCTACAACGTTAATGTCGAATGAGCCACTCTGAATTCCACAAAAACTTCAGACTCAAGTTTTTTGGAATTCACACTTCTCTCTTTATGTGAATAAAAGAATGAAAACAACCCTTGATATTTATCATTATGTAGTTTATTGATCAATTGATCACCTTCTATATATCAAGGAAACTCATATAAACAATCCTTCAATATAGAATACTTTGTATTTTACTCTCTGAGAATCTGGACGGGTTACCCTAAAAACAACAAATGACGCACTTTATAGAAAACAGATTTTCAAAGACCGCTCGAGCGCACATTTTACTACTTAAGCGGTGTGAGTAAAGGCGGTGCAAAACATATAGGCCAATCGCTCGAGCACAACATTCACCGCTCGAGCGGTAAAACTTGCTTCCTAGAAAGTTCAGTTTGTAGGTACAGATATTAGATGCTCCTATTCACTGCTCGAGCACACAAATTACCGCTCAAGCGGTTAAACAATTTGACTGTTTTTTTTTGCTCCATGTACATTGTCATCGATGTGACAAATACAAGTATAATTCGGATTGGATTCGCATCTAAACACTCATAACATCACTAAAATAAAAGAGCGAATAAAATTATAACTGAAAGAAATTTTATCAAATGAGATTGTCAATTATAAAAACCTAACCCCAAGGACGGGCATTTAACCAAATGAAGTTCCCAACGCTTGCAGGTGTACCTCAAATTCAAATTCTTTACCACTAAATAAGAAAAAGCTACCAGGTGAAATCAATGGAACTATAGAGAAAGCTCCCAGGTGTCTAATTCCTTAATTATAGGAAATGAGAAAGCACAATTTTGTAGAATGCTTGGGTGATTATGTAGCTCTTGGTAGCATTTTGTAGAGCGCTTGGGTGATCATATAGCTTTTGATGGCATTTGTAGAACGCCTCAGTAATTGTGTAGCTCTCAGGGTATTGAGATTGTTTGTTACAGTTTTTTAGGAGTGATTAGATAACTTATTTTGACTTGGGAGTCTATGCCAGACTATTTGGTATAATTTCTGCTTATAATTTATTAGGTAGAAATAGCTTAAATAAACTGAAAAAAATTAATTATTTAAAAATTAGAATAGAGGTGCTTTTAACTTTTACTTTTTAATTATCAATTTTTAACTTAAAAATGACTCCAAAAACAGGGTCATTGTTTTGTAGCATGAGCACCAAATCACTTTTTCAAACAATGAGGCTTAATTGGAATGTGTTACAACTGTCACTAGTTCGTCGAAAACGTGTCATATAGGCTGAACTTGCCTAATCATTTGTTCTCTAGTATAACTCTTCGATTATCTTCTTTAAGCACATCTCTAATTAGATCATCAAAGGGTCCTTAAAGACACCATTAGTGAGTTCTTGATGGTTTGCTTGCAGGCCTTACAGTAGGGAGCCCATATCGGCGTCTTTGGAGCCCAACCTATTTTAGTTTAGTCCAGTCCATCGACCGCTCTTTAAATGATTCTATCACATTGGTTGGTATTTAAATACTATGAGGCACTGACCTGGAGGTCTTCTTATTTCAACAGTTGAAAACCCAACAAATTTCAAAATAAATTACTTGTCCTAATTCATCTTACATATTTTTACTTGTTACCAAAAAAATCTTATTTAATTTTTTTTTTTAAAGACGCTATAACATCACACCATTGCTGGACTATCGCTGGACTTTCATTTGATAGTCACTAACTCGCTGGAAGGTGGAACAGTGTCGGAAAGTCGTTGGAGTATTGCTAGAAATTCATTGGAGTGTTCTGAACATCATCGAAAGTCGCTAGAATATTCAAAACGTCGCTGGACGTCAAGAATATCGCCGGAGATTTATTAGAATGTCCACAACATTATTAGGAAAAAAAAAGAAAGAAAAAAGAAAGGGAGAAATTAGAGCAAAAACATAACAAAATTTAACCCACCCCTCTTCAACACCACATAACATGAAAAAAAAAAAAAAAAAAAAAAGAGCTCTTTAAAAAAGAAGAGCTCTTTATCATATAGAGCACATAAGCTTCAGTTTACAAAATTACAAAAAATTTAGAGTTTGAATTTATTGCTCATCAAACTGCATGAATTTGTAGTTTTAAAATTGCAAATGATTAGTTTGCTTGTTTGTAAACACAACTTCACATCGCGGCGATGGTGGAGATCTTAGATTAGTAGTTTCCAAGGGTTCGAGCTTTCTAGTTTGTCAATATTTGCTAACTTCTTCTTCTTTTTTTTTTTTTCTTTTTTTTTTTATAAGAAAAAAAATGCTAGAGTCATAGAGAAAAGCATAAACGTATCTTCAAAATTATAAAATTTTGCCGTTTTGACTGCTTGTAACTAAAACTGAAAAAATATTTTTTTAGAAGTTGAATTTTTTTTCCCTCCATTAAAACAAGAAAAGAGGTGTGTGGTAGAGAGAGAGAGAGAGAGAGAGAGAGAGAGAGAGAGAGAGAGAGAGAGAGAACGCTAAGAGATCAAAAGAGAGAGACAAACATTGAGAAAATATTATACTTCGAAAATCATTTTTGGTTTAGATTTGGCCATATATGATGTAGATCTATTCAAATCCCGGGGCAAAGCCATCTAAGGCCTAGGGGGTTATGTGCCCCCCTAAACTTTCAATATTTATATTGTTACCCATATAGATAAAGATTATGTATTATTTTTTATAAAATTATAATAGTGACCCTTCTTGAATTATGTAAAACTTCTTGTATTTTAAAATTTTTTAAAATTCTTTATTTTATTATTTTGATTATTCTTGTACACTTTCAATTGATAGGTTAAGGCAAGAATTGAATCAATCGATAATTCATTTCTTATTATGAGATTTGTTTAGTTGCTTATTTCTCCTCAATGTGGGGCACTTTTTCTAAGTTGATAGAATTGAACTTATTGATTATTTGGTTAATAGAATTTTAGTTATTGATTGTGGACTTATAAGTCACATTAATGTAAATCTCAGGATAATAGTAATAGTAATAAAAATAAAGACAAAAATGTATAAGTTTAATAATATCTCGTTGTTACGTGTTATGGGGGAAAAAAATTTAATGCTGTGATTAATGCGTGCCCCCTCTACATTGGATTTCTGGTTCCACCACTGCTCAAATCTACTCTAAATCTAAACATTTCGGTTAGTTGTCTTGTGATCTTAGCTAGATTTGAGTAGATTTATGTCAAGAATATCATCGGAAACTCATATTCTTCGTCGTCGGTGAAGGCGAAGTAAGAAGTCGATAGTTGGTGGTTATCGGTGAACCTCAATAGATGGTAGTCACCGATGACTGTATATCAAAAAGAGAAAGAGAAAAAGAAAAAGAAAAACGTGGTCATTGATTGCAGAATATTAGGAAGAGAGAGAGAAAGAGAAGAAGGAAGGCATGCAAGACCTTTGGGTTTACATAATAAGTTGTGGGACTAAATAGAGTACATCTCTTTTAAAAAGGACATGGAGGTAATTTGTGTAGGAAAAAACTCCTTATGTGTACTGTGTGAAACACGTAATCATTGCACCAAATCTATTACCAAATTATACAAAAAAATATAAGTTGAAAACAACATAAATTGTTTGGGTAAACCCAAACCAAACCATATATAGAGAACTGTAAATGCTTACGAACAGATTATGTAAATCTAGAATCGATAACAATTTGATTGAGGCTTGTGTTGGACACAATTTTCTTAAGACAAATTTGTCCTCCGTTAAGGTGCTTACAAGTTTTTATTAGACGTTTGTCTCCCAAGATACAACGATCGAACTTTGCAGAAGCAGTACTACCATGGTAAGTCTGGCAAATCTTACTGTGCAGAATTCTCTTATAGAAAAGACAGAGTGCAGAAGAAAAGAAACACAAGATGAATTCAATTCAAAATGAATGCAATGGGAGCCTGTTTATATAGATGAATTGGTGGCTCTTCGAATGGTCATGGTGACTTTTTAAAAGAGTCACCTATTTTTCATAAAAATGTGCAACCCGAAAAGACATGATTGTTCTTTCAAAAGAATTCGAATTCTGAATCAAATCATGTTCAATTTTGACTCAAAAAATTAACGAATTTATTTAAATAAAATCAAATTTTACATTAAATAAATATTGTCTTAATTCTCAAATGGTGCATTTGGAATCAATTTCTCATTGAACTATTAATGGGTTCCAAACCATTTTTCCAACAACCCCCCTACCCACATGAATGAAATGATGGAAAAGTATGCAAGATACAATGCAGACTCAAAGAGAATTCAATTAGGAATATCCTGTATGGGGATAGGTAGCTTTTGGCTTTGAACCTTCCTTAGTGAAAGACTATCGGATTTACTAGCTAATCAGTGGACGTGATGCCTTGAACTGATCAGCCATTTGTGTAAGCCAAGACAATAGAATTCACACAGAATATCTCCAGACATAGCTTAGTTCTCACGGTTGTGCCCGTTTTGGCCTTGGGCATGTCTTGGTGCTTCATGAGTACTTTAGAGAATTTAACCTTATCAATTCTCATAGAAGCAACCCCTTCACACTCATGTAGGTGATCCTTATTTGAGTCTCTTAAATGCTCCTCTTGAATGATACCTCTCTAGGTTTTTCAAGATGTAATGATCATTAAGAACATAACTTACCCTAAGTCCCCTACATACAACACATGTTGCAGATATCACTC